AAGCCTTTTTTTAATAATGCAGGATTGTAGCGCGCAAATTTCTAATTAAAATTAACCAGCTCTACACGACCTTTCTTTCCAAAGTTATAGAATTTATAAGAAGAGCCCTAAATTAATTCTTTCCTTCTTATTTCTCTAGCTTTGAGCTGACAATGAACAATTTAAGGCTCTTCTTATAAATTCTATAACTTTGGAAAGAAAGGTCGTGTGGAGCTGGGGGATGTGTCATTTTAATCCAAAATTTGCGCGCTACAATCCTGCATTATTAAGAAAGGCTTGGGTTAGTTTTGGGGATTTCTGAAAAACTTGTTTTCCAGAAGACTGGATCTTCGAAGAGCTATGGGCCAGTCCCATGATCATATTCGGAATCAGCAGGTCGATAACCTATAACCCACTAGATGTCGATCAAAAAGCTTTTAATCACCTCGAAAGGTTCCCTCGTGAGAACGGAGCTGGTTTTCCAAAGATCCTCTGGGAAATAAAACTTCTAGAAAATTTGAAAACAAGTTTCTTCTTACAAAAACATGTCTTAAGGTTTTGGCTATCTACCAACGAAAATCGCACGTCGCTACGATTTTTCTGTCAAAAGTTATTCAAAAAACAGCCACGTGCACATTGTTTTGGCGCCGATAGTAGTTACAGTAGTAGAATTTGGTAAAATATTCAGCCTTCTCCGATACTCAGTTGATTCTGTGAGCAAACTGGCTAAGCTAGTAGTATACCAAATTCAGGGATCATCTATTAAACTTTGAAATTTCTGAAAAATAGCGTGTATATTTTCTGCCATACATTATTCAAAATACCGTAAAGTTCATTCTGTTTTGAAGTGGATAGCAATAGTAATCACATGATATCAGACCATATTTCATAAATCTCTTTCAATAAGTGCGTACGTACTTTCGTATTTGTTGCATGTGTCTTGAGGAAAATGAATGCATCTTCTATTTGTTTTTTGTTTTCTGTTGTGTAATTGGTTCTTCTGTTTCACATGCTAATCGAATAGCATGCTTTAGAAACTGATCCATGATTCGAAGCATCATATGGAGAACGTCGATGACAATATCTTTGTAACTTGAAAATAAATTAGGTAGAATAGAACGAGTCAAAATAAATTGAAGAATTCTACATCTGAGACCATGCTAAAATATGTTGAAAGGACATTAGGGTTACAAAAGAGTAAGGTTAGCTTTTCTTTGAATCTATTATGTGAAATATGGTCTTTGTTGATCCTAAACTGCATGACATTTTTTCCAGGGATAGACAGTTAGTGCATTAAAAATGTTTCCCCACTTACTCAAAATAGTCTTTAAATATAGGCTTCTCAACATAACCATATTGAGGATAGGCTTTGTTAGCTTCTGCAATATGTTCCTTAATTGTTCGAGCATGTTTTTGAACGTCGAACGCTGATCACTGTTTAAATATTGTTTTTCGATCCCATTTTGGCATCACAGTATCAAGATTTGATATTCGTTTACGTCGTTTCGATTGTTTTGGAGCATGGTCATCAGCTGAAGGACGTTTATTTCTTAACGACTCATCAGCTAAGAATTCTTCTGGGTCAAGCTTTATTGTGTTACATTTACACCAATTACACTTGTCATTTGATTTCACACCCGCTAACCCCATAATCTGCTGGACCATTTTATAGTCACTACTATACGTGAACTTAATCATAAAGTCGACCCCATCGATTCGAATTGTTTGACTTGGCTTAAACATATCGATGAAATCATTAGTGATGTATTGCGTGAGGTTTTCTCGATTTTCTTTTGGAATTTTTACTAAACCAAGTGATACCAAGTTCATGGCGTTCTGACTTTTTATACCATGATCCACCCAACTGAGTGATGAGGCCAGACAATTCAATGAATTTCCGATCCACGTACCATCTTGGCATAGACGAAAATTTAGTGTGCGCTGTGATGACTCTATGATTTGTTTAAAAATGGTCGGTTGGCTGGATGTTAGTAGTCGAATCGCATCATGGACATGGAAAAATGCACCATATTCAGTTGTTGTGATAGGGATGCGTTTTGTATATACATCACGTAGTCTCCCTGTAATAAATAATACTAACTGTCTGTAAAAAAATAAGAGAGGTGTGGTCATCTTTTGAATATCTCGGCAATAAAAATAGCTACAGGCCTTCGGTTTTCGCCATTCGATAGCCAAAACTTTGGAGCATCTTTTCGCAAGCAAAAGATTTTTGAATCTGTTTTTAAAAACCGTTTTTCGAAGGGATTTCTGGACAACCATTCCATAATTCGAAATTAACTCTCAGTCAGAAATAACTACATTTCAATAATGAATATTGAAATATTTAGATTAGGTATTGTGGCCTCAATGAATGATGGAGTAAAGTTATCCGTAGAAAAAGTTCTAATCTTGTCTCACGAGGGAAGGTATTTAGGTGTTCAGGCGTTTTAAAGCCCATATATTGGCCACAAGTAGACCGCAATGAAACATGAAAATTCTGACAAGGATTCATTTCCTCGCGCCTTTGTTCGTGAGATATCGAATTTTTATTAAATTTTCTCTGTAATATCTCATTTTTCCAACAAAATCAGATTTTCGAATTTCGATCTGAAACTTTTTGAGCCGCGAATCTATCCTGTGAAAAAAAACTTTTCCGATTTTTTTCATTTGTCTTGCCTTATGCGAAACAATAAAATTCGCTTGTAAAACTAAATATCGACATATAATCCTCTGTTAAAAGTGAAAAACTAAAAATCATCCACGATTCTCAAGTTTACTTTATCAGCCAGCTTAAAGCTACGTGTGTCAGCTAATGGCTTAATCTTATTTTTTGATTAAAAATTATATTTGAAAAAATAATAATTAATTTTCCCCAAAAAATAATTTTTTAAAATCCTCGGAATATCGCTCACTGGTACATTTCTTCTTACTGCATATTTTCAGGTCAACAAATGGCTAAGAATGTTCATTTTCACCCGAGAATAGGTGACAAAAAGACGTTTTTGTGAAGGTTATCCGAAAGGCAAGAACTTCCTAGTATGTCGAGCTTCGTAATGCTGCATCGAATGAATTTTGAATGACAGCTTAAGACATTCACGTTAAA